GGAAAACCCGAACCCGATAAACACGGGTTTTTCCCATCCAAATCGGGGCGGGTTCGGGTGGGTACCCACGGAGGCGGGTTAGATTGTCATGCCTATTTATAAGTAACTCCACTTGCCACATCAGCCTCACTTTTTCCTTTTTTCTTAAGAATGGGTGCTTATACAAGTAATTTTGATAAATTTTAAGCAATTCACTTGTTTCTTTTCAGGCTGATGTGACAAGTGGCGTTGCTTATAAGAAATTTCATTGGAAGTGCTCTTACATATATACAATTTTTTTAGTGGTGATATACCACTTATAATTTATTTTAATAAAAAAAGGCAATGTAAATTATGTGCATAAAAATCACTCGGTCGTGATAAAGCTTTTCTTCAAAATAAATACATAAGTCTACGTCCAATAGTTCCACACATTCATTATGTTCTTATTTTTTAGTTTGGATCCTCTTTCTTCCCCCCTCTCATCTCTCAATGTGAAAATATTAATATTTTTAAAAATTATTAAATATTATTATTTTTAAAATAATAAATATTATCTAGTAATATTTTTTAAAATTATTAAAAATTATTTTTATTTCTCGAAGTCCCATTTGAAGAGTATCTTTCATTAAACAAACTAAGAGAGAATAAACAAATTAAATTAGGCATAATTTTGACCGAGCCAATAGTTAAAAATAATTGTTAGTCATAAAACTTTAATTAGTGATATTTCTACTTTGAGAGTGACTATTAACTTTTTTGTTTACTTATTTGTGAAGTCTAAGGTTAGGCTTTCCTTGGTACAGGAAGAGACTTTTCCTAAGTTCTAAGTGTTATGTGTCACTTAGGTTTGCATGGTGGGTTTTTTAGTAATGATTTAAAGTGGAGTTGTGAATGTGGATTTCTTTAAGTATATAAAAATTGTTGTATTATAAATTTCATCTTGCTAGTAGAAAAATCTCAAGTGTAATTTAAGGTTGTTTAACCCAATTACGGTCAACATAGAAACTTATTACATTAATAAAGTTGCTTTTAAATTTATTTTTTATTTTAGTGCAGTCAATGTGAATTTTGTTATTGAATGTCACATGACACTAAAATAGTGTCGTTAGAGCCGCTTACAAAATTAATATTAATCCACACAACTCTAATGACACTTTTTTTTTTTTTTTTTTATACATGTTGTATAAGTGTTATTATATTCTATAACATCATTTTTTTATATAGTTGGTACGGTTGTTTTGGGTAAAACCCCTTGAACAAAAATTGACAATGTGAGTCGTTGTAATAGGTAACAGTATTTAAACAAATAGAAGATCAATCTAATATATTAAAATAGTAATTAATAAATTAATTTTTCAAGATGTGTATATTATTTATTAGCAAGATATACGTGTATATATATATATATATATATATATATATATATATAAATTATTATTTATTAACTAATTACACTTGTACATTTTAGCACCATTTCAGTGTCATGTGCCCTTATCCAAAGTGACTTTAAAAAAAAATTACGTGGTATTAGATGACGGTATATTGATTAGTAACACATTTGTATCAAAATGGAAATAAATTTTTAAAATAGCCTCATTTTTATAATAATTTTAATATTGACTCTAGTTGGGTCAAAAATTCGTGATTTGAGAGTTAAACATAAATTATGGATATCTACTAAACCAAAATAAATTATGGTACATTATTTTTTAACCTACACTATTATGTTTTATTTGTTTACTTTTTTGATTTATTGTGCTTCATACTTAAATTTTCATTAAATAAATTTAAAATTTTTCTCTTCATCTATTTTTACAATTATATTCTTCATAACTAAAGAAAATTATTTTGCTATTTTTTTATAATTCAATTCACTTTTTTTTAGCACTTAAATTAACAATTCGCAATCTTTAAGCCACTCCCCTAAATATTGAATGATCACAAAATTTTAAACTGCAAGTTTTGTATTCACAAATGGATGAAAAACTTTAAAATGATGCTTTTCATTAACACATTAACTACGTTTTTTTCCTAACACAACAATTAAATATGAGTAATTTATTTTTCAAAAGACTTATTATCACAATTTTTTTTTTGATTACATAAGAGTTAAAGCAGAAAGAAACAAAAGCCAGAAAAAATAGAAAACAGAAACATAATTCTCCTAGCTAGCTATTTTTAGCCGAACTTTCTACGAAACACACATGTCCATGTAGCATTCTTCATGAGTAGTTCTTCCATATCCACATGGGCTTCTTCCAAGATTACCAAACCTTCAGATGATACTGCACCTTCAGATGTTTTATATTTATTTATTATCACAAATTGTTCAATCTTATTAAATTTTCTTAAATTACTATAATTTTATAGTCATTAGCTATGTATTTAGTGTAGTTGAAATATCAAAGAAATATAAGAAAGAAACAATGAAATAAATGAGATATTAAAAATGCAGTTTATTTATATCGACGAAATGTTTGAATGATAAAAAAAAAAAGTAATGAGACTCACACTTTTTTATTTCTTCACAAATATGCAAAGAAATGGATAATATATATTTCAAATTCATTTGTTATGGATTAAAAAATTAATATCAATCAATAAAATATTTTTCTATACATGCTAAAAGTGTAAAAGTTATTTAATTTAATCGATGAAATCAAATATTTAACCGATTAAACTTTACTTTGAAAGTACTATTTCGATAATTTTAATATTTCATCCATTACACTGATTCTTGTAATAGACTGAAACTTTTATATTTGGTTATATGTTTTATATTTATTTATTATCTTTAAATTAATTATTTTTCTTACTTTTAGTATACTGAAATTTTATTTTAGAATCACTTACTCACTTTTTATTAGACTTTTTTTTTCCTTCAAAAACATTATAATAGTTGATTTATTTACTTGTAGAATTTTTTAATTGATGAAAATAAAAAAAAAATTGATAAAAAACTTTTTAAATTTATTTTTTCTATTTCTTATCGATAAAAATAACCGAATCAAAAACCAAACGTGTCATAAAACAAACGCGGGATTGAAATAATGAAATCCTCCTCTGGTCATCATCAGACACAGGCTAACCCTAAGATCCAAAGAATTTTCTCGAAATTCACCAATCCACAGGTTGAAGCCCACAGCTTTGAATTACTCGTCAGAAGCATACTCTCGCAGCATCGATTTTTGTACTTGAACCTTATCACATTACAGTGGGTGAATTTGTCCTTGCTCTGTTTTCACTTCCAACTTCCTACTTTGTCTTATGTTTAATGCAATTTATTTCATCTACTACTACTTCATTAAATTTGAACAACGCCTGTTTCGAAACTCTCCCTCTCCTTTCCACCATGTTATTACTATAATTATAATAATAATTTCCTCCACAACATAATCATTTGGGTACGTGCGTGTCGCTTTTATGATACCGAATGAAATAAAACCAGATAACTAGGGTTCACTCTCTCAATTTGCTTTTGCTGGTTCTTTCACACTGTAATATGTGAGTTGTGATTGTTTTGCTGCTAATACAGAAACAAGTAAAAAACCTTGATTCTCTCTGTTCCATGTCGTCGGGAAGGAAGAAGCGGCAAGGGACCACGGCAATTCCCGTGGATGCAAACTCTACTCAGCATGAAACACAATCTGTGGATTTTGGTGCTGATTGTGAGGCCAATGAGACCAAAAAAATCAACTGGGTTGTGAAGAATGATGATGGGGCAGGGGGTTCTTCCCCCGTTCAAGAAGGCGCACGTGGCAGAAAGAGTAAAAAGGAGACGGAAAAAAAGGTTTTGGAGGGCAATTTGTCGGAGAAGAATGATGCTGAAGAAGATAATAACGGTGAGAATGGTGTTGGGGTTGGAGGTTCTTCCTCCGTTAAAGAAGGCGTGAAGAAGCGTGGTGGAAAAAGTAAAAAGGAGGAGGAGGAGGAGGATACGGAGAAAAGAATGTCAGAGGGTAATTTGTTGGAGAAGAAGGATGCTCAAGACAAAAACCACAGTGAAAAGGGTGGGGTTTCTGAGCAGAGGAGCGGTAGAAAAAGAAAGATGGTTAAGAAAGATGATGGCGAGTTTGAAATGCCTGCGGATTCTTCGCGAAGTGACAGGCAGTTTAGGCCTAGGGGCCGTAAAGTCATTAAAGAAGAGGTGGAACCAAAAATCAACAAGTGGGATCCTAAGGTGACTAGATTTATCATTCAAGAAGAAAGATGAATGAATATGTGTTTGAGTTTGGCTTTACATATGAACATTATTTTTGGCTTGTATTTGAGCTCATGTTTCTGTTTCTCATTCAACAGTGGATTGAAGAGATTTCCTTAATGTGCCATCAGTGTCAGAGGAATGATAAAGGCGATGTTGTGAGGTGCACACTTTGTAAGAGGAAAAGATTTTGCTTTCCTTGTTTAAAAAGTTGGTATAACTTCGACTCTCTTTCGATTTCCCCCCTTCTTTCTATGTCAGTTATCATGTTATTGCGCGTGTCTTGTTCGGTTGGGTAAGATATATAAAGTTCTATTTCGTGTCCCCACTGCATTGCCAGCTACCAATTCGGTGTCATCTTAACTTATTTCTTGTGCTGCAAGATTTTAAACAGATTATTGAAAAGAATTGAAATGGCAACGTTTTTGCTGTCTTGTTAAGGTATCCCCATTTGAAAGAGTATGATATTGCTGAGGCATGTCCTGTATGCCGTGGTAATTGCAACTGCAAAGCATGCTTGAGATCCGATGAACTCATTAAGGTTAGTTCTTTCCCCCTTCTAGATTGGGTTTAACTGTGATTTTTCTGTATTATAACATTTAAAATGTTTTCGTTTGGTTTACTGTAGAAAATGAAGAAAGAAACAGAAACCATTAAAGATGAGAAGGTTGAATTCTCGATACATTTGCTGCAAGTACTTCTTCCATATTTAAGGCTGTTGGAAGAAGAACAGATGATTGAGAATGAGACAGAAGCTAAGATACGGGGTGAGTCTTGATTTAGGTTATTATTTTGTGAATCAATGTGCGTAAATAGATGAATTTGACGCTGAAGCAAAACTAGGTTTCATCAGTGCATGTTTGTTTCAACACAAACTAAACATTGTTTTGAAGTGATGCCTCGAAATCTGACCTGCAAAAGTCAAAGAAGTATCTGTTTTATAATAATTGATAATTTCTTATAGTTATTCTTATTCCCCCTCTTATTAATGTAGTATGTTTTCCAAATGTTTCTCCTGGTTTTGGTTCTTTATTTTGTAATTAATTCTCTCTCTCTCTCTGGGATAATTTACCTACTTTAGACTATTTTTCTTGTATGCACTGTTGTGTTGCAGCATAGCTTAAGTTTGTATCTCTTCTTATGCTCCAGTCAGAGTTCAGTACAAGTTCCATATGTTTTTCATTGTATAATTTGATTTTGGGACGTGCACTACAGGGCTCTCAGTCTCAGAGCTAAATATAGTAAAGGCAGATTTCACTATGGGCGAGCGTGTGTACTGGTTGGGATTTTTCTGACTTATTGTTTTTTCCCCAGTTATCCTCATATCTTTAGTTGCTAACTTAACACTTTCTTGTAGTGACAACTGCAAAACATCAATATTTGATTACCACAGAAGCTGTACAAAATGCTCTTTCGATCTTTGTCTCAGCTGTTGCCGTGAGCTTCGTAGAGGGCAGCTTGTAGGTGGTGCAGATCCAGTTGTGTTGGAGTTTGTCTGGCAAGGTAAGGATTACTTGCATGGTGCTGAAAAAGAAGGTAAAAGGGTAAAACGAAATGCATCAAATGCTGATGCTAAGCCTGTAGTTTGTGAATGGTCAAGATCTGGGTGGCATGCAAAAAGTGACGGTAGCATTCCTTGTCCCAAAATCAATGATTGTAACCATGGTTTTCTTGAACTGAGAAGCATTTTAGGCCAACACTTTATCTCTGAGTTAGTGCGTAAAGCGAATGAACTAGCGCAAGCATACAAGCTTCAAGATGTAGCTATGACCCCTGATGACTTCTGTTCGTGTTTGAGGCTTGACAGAAACTCAGATGATGTATATAGTAATATGAGGAAGGCTGCTTCTCGTGAATATTCCAGTGACAACTATTTATACTGCCCTCGGGCTGTAGATCTACAGTACAAGGATTTAAGGCATTTTCAGTGGCATTGGGAAAAGGGGGAGCCTGTTGTTGTCAGCAATGTGCTTGAATGTACATCTGGTTTAAGCTGGGAACCACTTGTCATGTGGCGTGCATGCCGTCAGATGATTAATACCAAGCGTGAACAACATTTGGATGTCAAGGCCATTGATTGCTTAGATTGGTGTGAGGTTAGTTGAATTTCTCAATCTTGAACTTGGGTGGATTTTTGCACTAATTCCATTGTTCACCTTCATTCACGAAACTTATGTTTAAATTATTTAATATTGAATATTGATACTTATTTTAACTGGAACCACTGGGCTTGAAAATGGCATTTAGAGAATAGTTTAATTGTAGCAATTTTATGTTACTGAATATCCCACATGTTTTCTGAATATGGTAAGTTGACGGCTATTTGAATTGAGAATTGTTTCAGTGCATTTAATGTTGTCAGTTAGTGAATTCCATGGAGTTGTCAGAACTGAATGTCTCAGTGCTTCTTAAACTTGACTGATGTTGGAGAAAATGTACTTTTTTTGGTTTTCATGCTAATGTTGAAAACATTTTAAATTATATTCAACTCGTATTCGTTCTGTTTTTATGTTTTGTAATTGGAATAGAGTAAATTGTCTGCTTTATTTTACTGATTTCAGTAAATCTTTACTGCTTTTGCTTGACATGTCTATTATTCTTTTGCTGCTGATTTCAGCATATTTTTTTTTATTTGAGGAGTTGGTTAAATGCAGGGAGAAATTAATATCCACCAATTTTTCACTGGGTATACAAAAGGTCGTAAGGATTGGCTCAATTGGCCTCAGATATTGAAGTTAAAAGATTGGCCTCCTTCTAATTTATTTGAAGAACGTTTGCCTCGCCACTGTGCTGAGTTCATATCTTCCTTGCCCTTCAAGGAATATACTGATCCTCATGTAGGTTCTCTTAACCTTGCTGTGAAGTTGCCTAAAAGTTGTATAAAGCCAGACATGGGGCCAAAGACATATATTGCTTATGGATTTCCTCAGGAGCTTGGACGTGGTGATTCAGTGACTAAGCTCCATTGTGATATGTCTGATGCAGTATGCTCTGTTTCCTTTTTTTCCCTGGCCTATTATTTTCGGAGGACATTTTAGAATTATTTAAACATTTTAGGTTGTTATTTTTACATTGAGTTTCATATTGGAAGGTGCACAATTTGTAGAATGTATAAATTGTTGTCTTTGATAAGCCATTGCATTTCTCTGTTATGCTTCTTAGGAGCATATTTTTGCTTCAATCGAATCAATTCCATGTTAATAGTTTTTCTGTTCTGTGCATTTTCTTCAGTCCATAAACTCCCATTTGATTCTATATTTAATGACTTATTGCCCTGGTTGTTTTAATGATTGATTGATTATTAGAAAAAGTAATCTAGGCATGTTATGATTGGTGGAATCATTTCATTAGTATTTTTAAGGACTTGAAATGAATGGTGGCTTTGGATTAGAGAAAGATTTAATTAGTGTATACTTCTGCCTGTTGCATAGCTTTTCCTGATAAACTATTTGTTAGTGTTTTGTATTTACTGCTGTATTTGTTACTGCATGTGCATTAATGAAGAAATTGAAGCATCTTTTTTTCTTAATAATTTGGCTGTTTTAGGTAAATGTGTTGACTCATATTGCTGAAGTGGAATTGGAATCAGATCAACTTACTGCCATTGACAGGTTGAAAACAAAGCATTTTAAGCAAGACAAAAGGGAACTACTTGGTGATGATCAGGATGGAGAAACTAATGTTGGCATGCTTAATAATTCATCTTCTACCTTGATTGCTTTGGACAAGCAAAATAGTGATCAAGTCATGGAACATGAAGGTGGATTATGTGATGGGATAGAAGTTGATCAATTTCATCAACCCTCTGGTGGTAATGTGGTTGTCATTGCTAATGAGGATTGTCTTTCATGTGTATCAGAGCTCAAAGAGGTTGACAAAGTAAAAATAAAACAAGAACGTGATTTGTTGTTTCCAGGGGATGCTTCAGCAGGTGCCCTCTGGGATATTTTTCGGAGGCAGGATGTACCTAAATTGCAGGAATATCTGAAGAAGCATTTTAGAGAGTTCAGGCATATCCATTGCTGTCCTTTGAAGCAGGTAAATTAGTTTTCAGCATTACTTGTCATCTTGATTCATTAATAAAGCCTGGTTCCCATCAAATAGCTTTAGTGCTGGGTTATATTTCTAATACTTTTATGTTTTCATCCTTTTAACATTGCCGTTCTCCAATTCCCTTATTTTTATTAAGTGTACATGTTACAAAGGATTGGGTGAAATGTCAGGCTGCTAATAAATAGTTGTGAATAGTTATGTTGAAGATGAAATTAAATGATTTTTGTGAGTGCTCTTAGAATAATGGGTTTGAGCCTAACTTAATCCTAAAAAAATGGCTTGTAATGTGAGGGTTGTCTCTCATTTATATACTCTTTAATAACCTTATCTCTAGTCAATGTGGGACTTAGGTTTTTTTAATAGACTCATTCACGTTCAATACTATTGGGTTTGGTACATGAATAAGTGTTGGATGACCCTTTTAAATGATCCAGGATAGGCAGGACTTAGATTTTTTCCAATATACCCTCTCACGTCCAATTCTATTGGGTTTGATGCGTGTATCAATGATGAGTGGCCATTTTAGAGTGGATCTAGATAACTCTGATATTATCTTAGAATAGTGGGTTTAGGCCTACCTCAATTCTACAAAACTGATTTGTAAGGTGAAAATTATCTCTCACTTATATACTCTTTAATAGCATTATCTCTAGTCGATGTGAGGATTGAGTTTTTTTCAATACACCTCCTCACATCCAATACTATTGGGTTTCATACATGGATAAATAGTGGGTGATTTTTTTAAATAATCTAGGATAGGTGAGACTTGAGTTTTTTCCAATAGTGTCGTTCCTTAAGCACAGGCAGGGAAAAACATTATGGTGTAATTACCAGTTCAAAATGCTAATTAGTTTTTCAAATAAGCATGTTTTTGTAATTGGCTGCGGCAATTCTTGGAGTTTTGATTTGGCAGACAATAAGTTAATAACTAATGTATAGAGAGGCCCCTTTGGTGATGTAGGTTATTCATCCCATCCATGACCAGACCTTCTATCTGACTATGGAGCATAAAAGGAAGCTTAAACAGGAGTATGGTTAGTAACACATAATGTTTCACATTATGATTTGGGGGAGGGTTCAAGTATGTCTCTACATTGACAGTTCTGTATTTCCTTGTAGGAATTGAGCCCTGGACTTTTATTCAAAAGGTAGGAGATGCTGTTTTCATTCCAGCTGGTTGTCCTCATCAAGTCAGAAATCTGAAGGTAAAATGAACACATGTGATGATCTTGTTTCATCTTTATTGTAGATATGTTGTGTCCTTGTTTGCCAAGGATGTCTATAAATGCCAAGTATTTTATGATTTTAGGTAGGGGTGTAAATGAGTTGATTTGAGTCGAGGGTTGCCAAGGATGTCTATAAATGCCAAGTATTGTAGATATGTTGTGTCCTTGTTTGCCAAGGATGTCTATAAATGCCAAGTATTTTATGATTTTAGGTAGGGGTGTAAATGAGTTGTTCCACTTCCTTACTCTCCCTGACTCGTTCACTCACTTCAAGGAAGCTCTCTCCTTGGGTCAGGGTTGACAAGTTAGACTTGGCTGCCCTCTCGGTCCATTTTTGGCTACCCTCGGGATTATCAAAAAAGCTTATGAAAGCTTATGCTACTGGAGGCCAAATTCGTGTACCAATATTTGTCATGACATTATTAAAATCAACAAAGTAGAAATTGCAGTTCTTGACAGTGATCTTGGAAACATATTTTTTTAGTAGAAATTGCAGTTCTTGACGGTGATCTTGGAAACATATATATTTTTTTCATTTCAAACTAAGACAGTTTCGAGAAAGTGACAAGGTGAAGGTAAAACAACTAGACCAAAGTGCTATCCAAAATCTTTACATAAATCCAACGACTAACAATATCCTAACTCAGGATAAATGACCAAGAATAACATGTAAATCCTAACTAATAACCTTGATGTCACATCCTATTAGAGTTTCACTCATAGACACACTAAGGCCTAAGCCTTAACACCACCATCTTATCGTCCTAATGATCTCTTGTAAAACATATCATAGAGAACATCAAAACAAACAGGGGATTGAGATAGAGTCGAATAGTCACATACAAACGACAATATAGCATAAGTATACATATAACAATTCAATACAATAACATGTAGCTCGAAGGTTAATACTTATGGCCCGAAGTGAATACTCATTTCTTGAAGGCAAATTCTCATGGATTGAAGGAAAATTCTCATGGCCTGAAGGCGAAGATGAATGCTCATGCACATGATGCATGTCTCACATACAAGACACTATGCAACACTTTATCTCATGGACTTGACTCATACTCATTCACTTAACACATCATCTTCATGTCAATCTCATGCATACACATCATCTTCATGTCAATCTCATGCATACACATCATCATCATGTCAATCTCATGCATATATATCATCATCATGTCAATCTCATGCTACTTCCAACAACAATTCTATTCAACATGCCTTTAAACATTTACTATGTCATATTAAGATCCTAATCATATTTATATCAATACCCAAAATCGTATTCTTAACTAAAGCTTACCATTACTCCTTAAAACCACACGTAGGCATCCTCGCACAACCTTGGGATGGCACCTGACATGGATCACCTGACACCTAGCAACATACCCACAAAGAGCAACGTCTCACGCCCGTTGTAAACACAATAGGGAGCCCTTGGAGCTCTTGTGCCTGACGCACCCAAGTTGCACCTGATGCAACTTATGATTCGTCTCACTTGTAGAAAAGTGCGAAATTGCACAAGTCAAGCCCCAAACCCCAAAACTCAATCCAATCAATAAAATCACATATTATAGCCTAAAATTACACAATTTACATAACAAAATACTCAAAACAAATATCATATATTCTGAACACCCTTGGCTCATGGTTTGATTACTCAAGTCCCCACCAATATATAGCTTGATTGATTTATTTTGAGTAATGTTTAAAATGTTCTTCAAATAAATATCCATGATATATGTGTTCCTTTTGCAGTCATGCATTAAGGTTGCATTGGATTTTGTCTCTCCTGAAAATGTTGGGGAGTGCTTTCGATTAACAGAGGAATTTCGTACACTTCCAATAAACCACATGTCTACCGAGGACAAATTGGAGGTATGCCAAACTACTTTTATTGATTTGATTATGCCATTTATTTGCTTCTCTATTGTTTTGAGATGTAGTCTCTCTCTCTCTCTCTCTTTTATTCGTTAGTCTTTGATGGGCTAAGTTTTGTATTAGGAAGTTATGTTATATATATATGGTTTGTTACTTTGTTTCTATAGTGTTACGTATATGGTTTGGTAGGTCTGAAGGAGGAAATTATGTGTCAATGTATTGTTTTTAGTGTTTAGAAGGACTAAAGGAGGAAACTTCCTTCTAGGGGGAATTCTCACAAAGAGTTTATTTCTGTAATTTATTCTGAATTTGATGTTCATTTCTCGAGTTCAACAATTTGGTTTGACTTCTCGAGTTCAACACTATGTTCATTGAGTTCAAATGAGAACAAAGCTTGATAAATTCTACCATTGTTAAAGAATTTGGCTAAACAAAAAGACCTTGTTAATGGAGAATATCTTGCTAGAACTTGTAACCATGTTAGAACTAGTCAACCACATAATCAATTGGCATACTCCGATGCTCATTCATCCAGGGTAGATATGATTGAAGGACTGGCCTGGGTTGAAAAGTTTTTGGAAATTCAAAATATTAAAGTAGAAGTGAAGGTATCCATCTGGCCATGTCCTTCATTAGTAGGTGAATTTCACATTAATAACATGTTAATCCTATAGGGCCCATTTGTTATATAGCTTTTTTCATAAAATAATTACATATTTTTACTTTGTGAATTTTTTCAGTACTGTCCAAGTTGGCCATGTGTGATAATGTGTACAGACTAAAAATATTTTGTTTCCTAATTTAGTTAGGAATTGGTGATTAGAATCAATGTATTAATTGTCGAATTGATTGTATATTATATTTCCTAGAATAGAGTTATGTTCTGTGTACAAGTACCCTTGAGGTATATGAAATAATATTTTGACAGCCTGTTTCAATTTGGTATCCGAGCTTTGGAAAGGAAATATCCTCCGCATCCTCTGTCACTATCAGGTTGAACCCTAGCGCTTATTCTCTTCCCTCTGCTGCTATTGGGCTGAACCATAACCACCCTCCTCTCCTCTCCTGTTTTTCTCCCCCAGTTTCAGTACCATGACTGAAGAAAACATTTTTCATAACAAGAAAATTGAGGAAAACGTTTCTGGTAACAAGATGTTGTCCATTGTGACCGTCCATGATACTTCTTTCCAATTATTTTTGTTAAGTTGGATGGGCTTAACTATCATGTGGGGTCTCAAATCATGGAGATGTATATTGTTGGCCGAAGGAGAAAAAGATACATAACAGGGATGAAGGTTGTGTCTCTTGAGATAGACTCGAGCTATGATGAATGGGAGGCTGAAGGTTGGTAAAGTCTTGGCTCATCAAATCTATTCGAAAAACTGATGGAACATTTTGTGCAATGTGGAACAACTAAAGAGGTTTGGGATGTTGTCAAGAGGAGCCATCTTGATGTCTTAGATTCTTCTCAAATTCATGAATTGATGAAGAAATCATTCCAATCTCGTCAAAGGGGCGGCTAGCTTTTGAAATATTACAAGTTAAACACATTGTTGAGGAGCAAGGTGTGTCCAAACGATATTGAGAAAATGAGATGGTGTGTCCAAACTATATTCCTTGCTGGTCTTGATCACAGTCTGGATGAAGTCAGTGGTCAGGTGATGGCTGCCTTTTCTTTACCAAGCTTCGAAGAAGCCTATCAATATGTTTGTCGTGAGGAATAGAGCCAACTCACCATGGGAATGGAAGATAGATTAGAAGCATCAGCCTTAGTTGCTCAAAAGAATAACTCAATCAGCAGTTGCCACTTGCTCCTCCAACTCCTTTTCTTGTTTATGTAATTGTAATAGTACAATGCATACTGTGGTTGTTCGTTGGAAAAAGCATGGCTATCCGGTATGGTATAAAATTAAGCAAGCTGAAAGAAAATATAAAAAATGTACACAGGTTGTTGTCGCAGATACTCTGCCAACTTTTGCTTATCACGTGACTCAGGTGTCTCAAGAAGAAGGTAATTACAGTTGGTTATCTTTCCTATTATTAATACTAACACTTGGATTGTTGATTTAGGGGCTACTAATCATATGAGCAAATCATCGCAGTTTGACTCGAATTCCTTCATTGAGTTTTGTTCAGGTTGCTAATGAGACTTTTATGCCAATTCAATGTGCAGGTTAAAGTTTTTCATTTTGACAATGATCGTGAGTAGGGATGTAAATGCGCCGAGATATTTGTGAACTATTCTGGCTCAACTAGCTAAATACTCAATCAAGCTTGTTTGTTTAATTAAATAAACAAACTCAAGCTTGAGATTGAGCTTGATTATTTAAATGAGCCAAACCCATGCACGAGGAACTAGACACTAAGAATGTGTGAATAGCTGGTTTATATATATACATATATATTATAATATTAATTCTATGAAAACACTTTGTATAGTATTCTACTAATAATTTTTATATAAAATAATATTTTTATTTACTATTTATAATTCTTCTGTGAGATAAAATTTAAAAAAGAGAAATAATGTTAAAGTTAAAAAGAAAAGAAGACATCTCAATTCCTTTTGATTGAGCTAGCACATGATGGGCATGATGGGGTGCTCGTGCCGGGTTGATGTGATGTAGGTGGCACAAGATTGACATTTAGGGTTAATGTGATCATGTTAAAAATAACTTAAATAAAAATTAAATTATAAATGAAATAAACAAGGCAAGCTCAAGCTTGTTTTTTTTAACAAGCCAAGCCTAAGCTTCAAGAGTTTGACTCATCTTGGCGCATTTACACCCTAGTTGTGAGTTTGTTAATCAATCTCTTGCCAAGTTTTTCAAGAAAATGAAATTCTCCACCAAACATGTATACACACCACAACAAAATGATGCAGCGGAGCAAAAAGCTGTCACATTCTTGAAGTGGCTTGAGCTTTGTGTTTCATTGTATATGTTCCTAAACATTATTGGTTTGATGTTGGCATGATTGTTGTTTTCCTCATAAATTGAATGCTTGTGCGTGTCACTGACTATCAAAAACCTTTGCGGATGTTATCCCAATTTCACTCGGTTCCTTCTCCCTTAAATATTTGTCCTAGTGTTTTTTGTTGTGTCTATTATATTCATATTCACTCACACCATAGGGATAAGCTTGATTCACGTGCTCTAAAATGTGTTTTTCTTGGTTATTCCAACTCTCAAAAGGGATATAAATGTTACCATCCTCCCACCGGAAAATATTATGTTACAATGGATGTTCAATTTTGTCAACATGAGCCTTATTTCTTTGGGGCTGTGTCTTCAATTCTCTTCAAGGGGAAATTGATAGTAAAGAGGGAGCAAAACTATGGCTAGATGAAAAAAGAATTTGGATTTCAGATAGCCTTATGAAAGACAGTTGATAATCAAGGACAACCTAAGGAGTATCTAGCAAATGGTCTGGAGAAGTCTATAGATGTTTTGGAACCTTTGGCAGTTGAACCTGAACCTAGTGATGAAAGGAAGAGGCGTATAGGCTTTTCAAGCAAGTTTATTCAAGGAGGAACAAAGATAGTCATTCTAATACCCCCCTTAATGAAACTACCATGCCATCATATGACACTTTTGAGACTAATTTTAAGGTAAGATTCTTCTCTACTTTCCTTGTCTCTTGAAATTTGTATCTTAAGTGCGCCAGTTAAGGATGAAGGTAGGGGATATGCTCTTTGTGATCGTAAAGCACTTGATAGGTTTCAATGGTAGATGAAATGCAAGAACTCCAAAAGGATTCCATATGGGACATTGTCGAGCTTCCTAAAGATAAGAAACATTGTCGAGCTTCCTAAAGATAAGAAGACGGTAGAATGTAAGTGGATTTTCTCAATAAAGTACAATTTAGAAGGAACAATAGACGGGTACAAGGCTAGATTGGTTGCTTAAAGATGCCCCTAAACTTACGGAATTGACTATAAAGAGATCTTTGCTCTTGTGACCAACATGTATACTGTTTGAGTAATACTCTCTTGTAGTTAATCTAGATTGGCCTCTTGTAGTTAATCTAGATTGGCCATTAAGGCTATTTGATGTGAAAAATGCCTTTCTACATGGTAATCAATCTATTGGAAGAGGTGTGTATGGATTTACACAAACGGAGGAAACGTATGCAAATTGAATAAGGCTTTATATAGGATAAAGTAGTTACCAAGGGCATGGTTTAGGAGATTTAGCCAATCTATGAAGGAGTATGGGTTCAAGCAAGCTATGGAAGATCACACAGTTTTACAAGAGTTTGGCACTAATATTACCCTCCTTATTTTTTATGTTGGTGACATGATTGTCACATGTAGTAATCTTCCTGAGATAGAGGAGCTTCGAGACTATTCGGCTAAGTAATTTGAAATGAATGACTTGGGTGCTTTGAAATACTAACTTGACATTGAAGTATCTTGATCTTGGACGAACCCTACCTCTATCAATTGAGGTATACATTAGATCTCTTGGTCAAAATAGTTAACTTGGCTTGCTAATATGTTGATACAATTATTGAGGTGAATCATGGCATGAGTGTTTATCCAGATCAGATTCCAACAAAGAGATACCAAAGGCTGGTCAGAAGTTGATCTATCTAACTCACACAAGACCTAATATATGATGTTGTTGGTGTCATGTGTCAGTTTATGCACAACCTTAGTAAGTGACACGAGTGCAATGAATTGGATCTTGGCTTATCTCATGTTCTCATTGGGAAAAGGCATATTGTTCTCAAGACATGGACATCTAGACATTCTTGATTATTCATATTTTGCTAGGAAGAAAATCTACATCAGGTTACTTGTCATTTGTTGGAGGCAATTTGGTAACTTAGAGAAGTAAGAAATAGAATGTAGTGTCATTGTCTAGTGCAGAAGCTGAATATTATGCTCTTCATCATGAAACTACAGAGCTTTTATGGCTGAAAATTCTTCTAACTGAACTTGAGTTTGGTTTAGAAAACCTATGACACTTTTTTGTGATAACATGGCAGACATTAAAATTGCAAAATTCCAGTGCAACATGATCGGATGGAGCATGTTGAACTTGATAGGAAATATATTAATTGCAACCTGGATGCTAGCAGGATAAAGGTTCCACATTAAAAAGTGCCAATCAACTAGCTGATATAATGAGTCATGCTGTTCCAAGTGGTTCATTCTATTCAGTACTATCCAAGTTGTGTGATATCTATGCACCAACTTGAGGTGGAGAGTTGATGTGTACATACTGTAAATATTTTGTTTCCTTAGGATTAATTGATTATAATCAATTTATTAATTGCTATTTCCTAGAATAGAAAATTGTGTACTGTGTACAAATACCCTTGGAGGTATATGGAATAATATTATGACTGACTGTCTCAATTCTCTCAACACTTTTTGTTTTTTGAACTCTCGAATAATTCTTCATATCTATACCTTGATACCTTGAATCAGGATTCAGGAGCTTTAAATCACATGATAAATGCTACAACCTGATTGGCTAATTTTCCCCATTTTGACTAGTTTTGTCCTTCCTGCCTTGTTTATAGTTTCCTTTAACAGCATTGAATTTGACATGGAATCTATTGGGAAAGATTTGCTTTCCATAAATAAAAGGGTGCATAAGTCCGAAGAACTCATACATTGTCAATGCAAATGCATAAACTGTCTTCTACCCACTTAAAACTGTGTTTTACTTCTCTCCATAACTGGTTTTATGGAACCCATTTTGATCCATAAAAAATCAAGTATTTTATGTTTGGGACTGTCAACTTTTGATAGCAACTTGCTCTTTCAAATTCAATGTCCTTTGGACATCAAATTGGGCTTGAAGGACTATTTTGGGGAAGGGAATGAGTATTTACACTTGAACTCTTAAGGTATGTGGTTAGAAGAGTCCAAGCTATTTTCCTCGAGAAATTATTAGGTAGTCGAAGTCTACTAAGTGTTCATGGTCTTAGTCAATCACTATATGACATGTATTTTAAGTTTTTAAACTTTTGAAAAAGACTTGATGACACTTGATTACATGTCATAGAGACTAATTAGGGATCATGTAGTCCAGATCCACCCAATAATTTCTCATTTTCCTTGGCTTATGGTGGGTGTGGTTTCAGCTTATTAGATGCTTGGTTCTGAAAAGTCAAGTCAAAATGCTTTAAGAGCTAACGTTGGCAATATGCAAACAGTTGTGTTATAATATTGTAATGTCAAGAGTTTCGTATATGCTGCTTTTGAAACAGGTGAAAAAGATGACGGTATATGCTATGCAAGATGTGATCGGAAAATTAGAGCAAGCAAGGTTAGTATTTGCAAACTTCGGGCCCTTTCGGAATGAATTGTGGTACATGCATTTGCGGCGTATGTTGTTTTACTTTGCTGTCAGGCATTGTTACAATATTATATCATCTCTTGTGCACTGCACCCTGATTATGTCCTTTTAGGCTCTTGATTCAATAATTTTTGTGAAATTAATGATTGTTATTTATTTACAGGTCCGGGAAAACCAAGGTTCCGGAGTAAATATATCTGCAACAGATAAAAGCCAATTGGAGGTGTAAATTTTGAGTCTATTAACTTAGCTTATTCAGGTGTGGTGATGTTGGGTACTGTTTCAACGGTTCCATATTTTATTTTCGTAACAACTCCTGGAAACATCTAATATGACTTGAACGGGGGTGTACATATAATTTTCATGAATAGGGTACATTTTTAGCTTCTGAATGCATAGATGATGATATTCAATGTTGCATAATGTGGCAGAGTTCGGGAGTGCTGATACGATATCATGTTGTCCTTGATTTTCTGGGACAGGATATCACGTCCTTTGTTTTTGTCTAAAACTAAAACAATATTTCAGCGCAAAAGAGAATTGACGCAGTACCCTTTTTTTTATATTCAAAATAACATTATAAACCCAACGAACGAAGAGCATTAAAATATAAAAAGTCACTTAAACGGTTTGTATAATTTTACGATAATTATAATGTTTACTTATCAGATAAATATTATGCAAATCAATTTTAATTTGTTTCGTCTATTTTATAACTTGACGAGATCTATTAGGTTTATCATGAAATTTTAGACCCTGGTTTTGTGAAAGAAGTTCATAATGTCTGCTCAGAGTGAACTGATACAATGAGCAGCGATGCTGGAGGGTGAAATTCAATTAGTAAAATTTTCACATTTTCTCATGATTTATTACGATACAACCAAACATGCTTATCCTTGATTTAGAATCCAGGATAATCTACAAATGGACTGATAACGCCTAAAACCGAATGTAAGTATGATTCACACAATCACAGAAAAATAATATATATATATATATATATATATATATTTTATTAAAAGATAGTAAAATTTAATCTACCACCACACGAAGCAGAAGCTCTAGCTATACTTCATTCTATCATAAGCTCTAGCTATACTTCATTCTATCATATGGCTCTCAGAGTTAAATAACCAATAAATTATCATAGAATCAGATTGCAAACGCGTGGTTGATTCAATAATTTTTGTGAAATTAATGATTGTTATTTATTTACAGGTCCGGGAAAACCAAGGTTCCGGAGTAAATATATCTGCAACAGATAAAAGCCAATTGGAGGTGTAAATTTTGAGTCTATTAACTTAGCTTATTCAGGTGTGGTGATGTTGGGTACTGTTTCAACGGTTCCATATTTTATTTTCGTAACAACTCCTGGAAACATCTAATATGACTTGAACGGGGGTGTACATATAATTTTCATGAATAGGGTACATTTTTAGCTTCTGAATGCATAGATGATGATATTCAATGTTGCATAATGTGGCAGAGTTCGGGAGTGCTGATACGATATCATGTTGTCCTTGATTTTCTGGGACAGGATATCACGTCCTTTGTTTTTGTCTAAAACTAAAACAATATTTCAGCGCAAAAGAGAATTGACGCAGTACCCTTTTTTTTATATTCAAAATAACATTATAAACCCAACGAACGAAGAGCATTAAAATATAAAAAGTCACTTAAACGGTTTGTATAATTTTACGATAATTATAATGTTTACTTATCAGATAAATATTATGCAAATCAATTTTAATTTGTTTCGTCTATTTTATAACTTGACGAGATCTATTAGGTTTATCATGAAATTTTAGACCCTGGTTTTGTGAAAGAAGTTCATAATGTCTGCTCAGAGTGAACTGATACAATGAGCAGCGATGCTGGAGGGTGAAATTCAATTAGTAAAATTTTCACATTTTCTCATGATTTATTACGATACAACCAAACATGCTTATCCTTGATTTAGAATCCAGGATAATCTACAAATGGACTGATAACGCCTAAAACCGAATGTAAGTATGATTCACACAATCACAGAAAAATAATATATATATATATATATATATATATATTTTATTAAAAGATAGTAAAATTTAATCTACCACCACACGAAGCAGAAGCTCTAGCTATACTTCATTCTATCATAAGCTCTAGCTATACTTCATTCTATCATATGGCTCTCAGAGTTAAATAACCAATAAATTATCATAGAATCAGATTGCAAACGCGTGGTGGAGGATATTCATCAACAGAAGGACCAACAAGCTGAATATGAACAAATTATATAAGAGTGTAAAAACTTATTAAACATATATAAGAACTTAACAGTGAAGTTCATTAGGAGACAAGTTAATCAATTCCCTCATACTTTAGCTGGAGCGTCTAGATTATTTGCTAGTCACTATGATTTTAATGTCATGCCCAACTGTATCTCTCAACTCATTATGAATGTAATATCTTAAGTTATTTCTTCTATAAAAAAAAAATTAAGAATTGAACGTAATTTGATGGTGAGGATAAATCAATATAAAAATATTTAATGTTTTATTTTTTTAACTCTTCATTTGCATTTATAAGATTGTTGATATTATTTGATTGTTTTAAAAATATGTTAAGCATTTGATTCATATTATTCAACTCCTCTTTTAGTATTTTTCATTTCTCTATAATTATAGACATAAAAATCACTTATTTTCTAGATAAAATCTAAGGTTGTAAATGGTGCATGGTACGTGTCTTTGTCCATTATTAAAGTACTTCATTTAATTATTCATTTACTACTCATGGCGGGGTATATGTGAATATTTGTAGGTACATATTTTTTTTGTCATCTCTAGATGTGCACCATGATAACAAATTAGATAATAATATTATATTATATGTGACAAATTATAGTTTTTATTAAAATTTGATATATATATATATATATA